GAGCAGGCAGCGCTCCCTCCCCTCAGATGACCTTGAACGCTCAGTATCACTCATGGCGGGGCATTTGAAATTACTCTGAAATTTCTGAATATTACAATCGACCCCCCTAAAAAAAAGACAGCACTGTCCTCATGTGCTGAGAAAACATGCATACGACCCCCCTAAAATTTTGTTCTAAGGACTGCACCTCACCCCTTTTGCTAAATGCAGCATTCCCGTCTTCTCTTGTCTCCTTTTCTCTCCCGCTAACACTCGACCCCCCTAAAAAAGACAGCACTGCCCTCATGTGCTGAGAGAACAACTTAAAACCCACCTTCAACTCTGTACTATTCCACTCGCAGCTAGCAACTCCATTTCTTCCTAGCCCAACTCAATCCAACCAGAACATCACGCTCCCCTTTTGCCTGGCCCTTAACTAGAGAACCCAGTGTCAAAAAAAATACACAGTCCAAAACAAACATGCTCTCCTTTGGCCTGGCCCTTGAACTAAGAGGAACCAGTGTCAAAAAAAATACACAGTCCAAAACAAGCATGCTCTCCTTTTGCCTGGCCCTTGAGCTAAGAGGAACCAGTGTCAAAAAAAAATACACAGTTCAAAACAAGCATGCTCTCCTTTTGCCTGGCCCTTGAACTAAGAGGAACCAGTGTCAAAAAAAATACTCAGTCCATCTCCAACATGCTCTCCTTTTGCCTGGCCCTTGAGCTAAGAGGAACCAGTGTCAAAACAATACTCAGTCCACGTCTCCGAACCTCATGCCGGCAGACCAACCCTCTGACAATGTACCAGTCCATCTTAGTGAGGCCCTGGACATTACAACCGTACTCTCAATCCCGCTCATGACAGCAACTCAATCCCGCTCATGACAGCAACTCAATCCCGCTCATGACAGCAACCACTACTCAACGCACATCTCTGACCTAACCATCTCTCCAATCCCCTCTGCCCTACTCACAACTCCTCCAACTCACCCCCTACACCCTGCCTTTTCTCATTACCATGCACCCTAAACTGTAATCGGTCGGCTTCGTCTTGTCTCTCAGCTGGAGGGCTCGATCAACCTCTCTGAATTACTTACGTACCCCTATATTTCCCACTTGGACCTCACACTTCCTTGACTGCTGGACGTGGGCCTGACATTCATCCCTTGTTTCCTCCCTGAACCGTTGAATGTGTGCCTGAGACTCCCACTTGAACCTGTTTACCTGTGCTTGATAATCCCTCTTTAGGTCTCCGAACTCCTCTCTCAGCTGTACCAAGGTCCCGCGGCCGTCTCTCTTCCTCCTCATACACATCTCTATTGTCAAGCCTAACCAACTCAGTCCGGGCACAAGGATGAGCATCAGTGCGAGTTCAATCCCTACCATTACTAACCAACACATGATAGCGTTCATTATCCCAACCACAGTACTATCAGTCACGACATTAAAAACTACGCTCTGCTACCATTTGTAAACGGTCGGAATTTACTGGACTTTAATTTCTCACTTGACTTGGGGTTTATTAAAATTTAATAGATGGTAATGGCAGTGGAAGCGCCCCTTTGAGAAAAATCCCGAACCAGCACAAGAACACTTAAATCTACTAAACAAATGAATTGTCCGTGACCCGTGGAAGGATAGCGTCTGTGACTGGGATGAATGAGACACACTGTAAAATTTAGACACTTATATTCCCTCCAACACTACAAACACAATCAAATAATGGTACACCAATATGCGCACCTCTTCACTTAAACTTTAACCACTACTCTGGGGAATAAAAGTTATACATGACATAGAAATTATTAGAAACACAGGCAACAATAAATTTAAAGTATTAAGAAATGTTAATTGCACATATGAACAGGCCTTAAGGGCTTTCACAAAATAATATCAGTCACTGAGGAATGGTAATAAAAGATAAGAAATTAAATACTCTACAATGAATAGGCCCTAAGGGCTTTCAGCAAAATAATATCACTCAACAAAATTATAGCACCCCAACAGGTGTACACTTCCTAACCTAACCTAACCACTGCTCTGGGGAACAAGGTTATACCTGAGATCAGAATTATGAAGAACAATTAGAGGCATTAAAAGAATCAAATCACAGTATCACTCTGGTTCCACTTAATGGCACAAACATTCAAAAAACACTACTATCAAAATTATTTAAGAAATATTAAACTACACACGTCAAGATAATATCAGTCTGAGGAATGGTGTTAACTACACCCGTGATAAGGAAGATAAAATGTTCCTCTAGGTATCTCCTAGAGTCCTAGACTCACGGTCTCAGTGTGTGACCATTAATATACTCAGATAGCCTCAGTGTACTCCCAGTGCATCCATGGGCAGGAAGAGAGTGAGCCAATCAGACCCTGTGCAGTTGAGAGGAGCTTTAGCTTCCCGTTAGCAAGAGGGTTTCACTAAGCGGCTCTGGACATGTGGTGTTGTGAGCCGACGTCCGCTGGGCACCCAGACGGCTAGATTCCCTCAAGAGATCCTTTGGTACCCCGCTAAACAGTGACAGGCCTACTCTGATCGGTCCAATGGCGACAGTCGCCACCCTCAATCATCAACGGCAGTCTCAAACGGCAGTCAATCTCTCGCAGTCAAACTCCGGTCAACTCCGGTCAACTCCAGTCAAGTGGGTTCTGACGGAAACCCTGAAATGAACTCACTGTTAGCTCTAGTTAACTTTACCACTGCCCTATCTAACCCTGTCTGAGATCGAATGAGACTTACTTGTTATACTGCAATAGCGCAGCACAGGTGACTAGGCCACGTGACTATTTCTGATGGACGCGCGGAGCGTCTTGTCTGTGTGACTGCTCTCCGGGACTGGGCTAGCCAGCGTCGTGTCTCCCCAAGGCGCTAGCTTGGGCCTACGTGATATATTTACCGCCTAACTAATAACTCCTTGGGACACCCGTAACATTATTCAGACTGCTAAACGATCTATAATAATTTCAAATTCAATAATAGTCCCTTAACTTCATGAATCGCATCATTATTAATTCGGTAAATTACATTTAATATCATATAGGCCTAGTTCCGCAGTCTCTCGCTACGAGCAGGCAGGGCTCCCTCCCCTCAGATGACCTTGAACGCTCAGTATCACTCATGGCGGGGCATTTGAAATTACTCTGAAATTTCTGAATATTACATATATATATATATATATATATATATATATATATATATATATATATATATATATATATATATATATATATATATATATATATATATATATATATATATATATATATATATATATATGTTGGTGGTAATGGCATTATTATTTTTTATTGCTGTTGGTGGTACAGTTTTGTAAGTGTTTGTGGTAGTACAATATTGTTGGTTTTTGTTAGCGATGTTGTGCTCTCAGGGCATTCGAAGACAGTGCACTAGTCCCAGCCATTCAGCTGTGACTTGGGCATGCATCCTTCCCATGCAGCTATTGCCTAAAGATCTGTGATTCAGTTCATTTTAGTTGCTGGTTGGGATTTGGGAGGCATAACCTTTCCAATGCCATCTCTCTCTCTTAAATGGCATGGTCTGTTCTGTTCTGTTCTGATAATTACTCTTAGTATCGTATCATTCTCTTTATCTGTGAATTATTTCAATGTTTTCAGAAAAACTGACAAGGCACAAGATAAAAAACATTTTTCTTTGTCCGCTGCACAAGAACACACACCACACCTTGGCAGGTCAGGCAATAGTAGTGAAAAGTTTTGGCAGAAAATTACCATGTGGATCCATTACATTATGTATACAGCATTACATTAGTTCTTTATGCATGTACAATGCATATGTTTTAGGTAATATAGTGTTAAGTAGTTTGATCACACCAACAAGCTTCATGGCAAAGTCTGATTCTAGTGCCAAGGAAAATTGCCAATATTCTGTCTCTGATACAAAATATGCCTTAAAATGTTCATGACACCTTGTTTAGGAATATATAGAAAGTTAGATTTAGTTGGAGAAGATATGGTTTACTTTAGGTTAGCCAGTCTGTTGTCATATGGTGTGGATGTTGGTTTGGCTTCCAACTGGATGGTAGTAATGTGTTACGAAGTTCTCATCCTTCTGAGTGATTACAAATTAAGATGATGTTCACTTATCCAACTGAGAAATGGTGGCATGTAGATGGAGTTCAGTCATCCAGCTCATTCATAGTAGAGTATAGACCATTCAGTTGGGTGACGTATGCAAATGATCTTCAGTCATTCAGTTAGTTGAAGATGACTTGCTGATAAATACATGGGGTTCAGTCATCTAATTGGGTAAGGGCTGCTGCTGCACGACTGACCCAGTGGTGGCATGGGAGGGAGGAAGGCAGGATCAAATCAAGGATATAATTGGAGGAATGTCCTGTGGTGGAGAGTGTGCCACTCCGCTCGCTGGTGCGGTACACAGGGCAGTGGTACATGCCTTTCTCTTCTGCCTGGTCTTCATATTTACAGCTCACACCTGCAGACAACGCTATGAAAATCTTCAGGCAATTTGATGATGTATAAAAATAAGTAGTTTATGAATCAACTTTCTTCCAATTAGTCCAGATTATCGAGAGTTTGTTGGTATTCACTAAGCTGAATCATTCTACTTCAGTATCTGAGTGATGTATTTTTGTGCAAATAAGTTCAGGACAATATACGAGTGTGGCTAATCTAAATAAAACATCAGTTAGCAGAAATGTCATTAACATCTCAGACTCATCAAAATTTGTGAATCATAAGTTATAAGTTCTTGGTTACATATTCCTTCAAAAGATTTTGGTTATGTAACTAATGACAGTATCTTAACAAACTGCTCAAAAATTATTTTAATTTTATGTTCACTTGTAATGAACATTCCCTTTGTGTTTCATGCAAAGAAGTCACGAGTGTTTATTTTTGGTAAGCTCCACTAAGTGTATTAAATATCAATAATATGATTTATTTAAAATTTGACATACCATACCAGTAGTCTTATCTCAAAATCTAAAGGAGTAAAGATTTTCTTTTTGCTGTGAATAAAGTTGTCACCAAGATATATTTGCCGATATAAACTAAAACATATACGTATACCACTTAATTTACATTTAAATCCACTGAGAACAGGAATAACTGGTGTATAAAAATAATCCAGTCATTTAACAATTTGCAGAAAAAAATTGTCTACTGTATTCTAGGTTATATCCATTCAATAGTTTCAAATAGTTTGAAATCTAGGTTTTATTATAAAGTACATAAACCAAATTTCATTTTGTAAATAGTATTCTGACATATCATTACTTTTGACATGGAGCAATTTTCAGGTACCCATAAAATCTTAACCAATGATATGGTTAAATCACCTTGATGAGAATACCTGGTCTGACTCAGTGATAAAGAAAATTAAATTGAACATGTAGGGCAAGGTAAAGGAATGAGTAAAGAGAAGGTGTGTTGGGGGCACATACCCTCATGGTGTGACATGTCTGGGAGGGCAGCAGGTTGGAAAAGGATGATAGGTAACTGGTCATGTAGCTGCTTGGCTGACATCTCCGCCAAGCAATGTTGTTCACGATCCCAGCGTGCACCTTCCAGGAAGAAGCCCTGCACAAGAGCACATTGGTATTAAGGGGCTGCATGTTGGGTGTAGAAAACTCTTCTGCCATACTGCTTTGTCTGTCATACTGGAATGACATGGGTATAACCCAATTGACTGTTTGACATATCATGCATACTGATCTTGGTTATTTTACCTGACCTATAATATACCTACCCAGGCAACCTCACTTGCCTGGTATTCTAACAAAGATGCCCTCACTTGTCTTTGTCCTGCTTATTAGGTGTATAGCTTAAATATCTAAATCCTCTCCCAGCTTTGCGCAGTGGCAATATCGTAACCAATGAGTTTTATCCAAGGTGTGTTACTGTGTAAAGCTCGACTATCTGCTAATACTATTGGGAAAAATTTATCTAGCAATCAACCCTACCCTTATTATTAAGAGCCCAACCCCTGAACCCCTACTTATTCTATTCTAATATTATTTTCTAATCTATCATCCTACTAACCCATGTCTAGGTGCCTCCCTAGACGCCTCCCTGTGCTTGGCGAGGGATGACCTGGTAGATGACGTCATCAGATTCATGACTTTGGCTCTGTGAGTCATTCTCGTTGTCTTCCTTTTCCTGCTGTTCAGTTGGGACTTTCACCGTCTGGAAAGTGAAGAAAAAAAATTGTTGGCCTACA